CCCCCTCCCCTTCCCTTCCTCCTCCCCTCTCCCCCATGCACCCTTAATAATTTATAAATTATTATTGTATGTCGGCACCCTTATTTGCATCATGAGCAAGCGAGCCAATCTCCTGGGGTCCCCAAGCACCACCTTCGGATTAGCCTCAGTCCTTGACTCTGGCCAGAGAGTCACAAAGACTATGGCTCCAAGGGTCGGCCTCACGTAACTCACTGTTCCTCACCTAGTCCCAGCCCCCCAGGGGAGTACATCCTACCAGCGATTCTAGAAGGGGAAGAGGAGAGAGATGGGGAAGGAGACGCGAGCATCAGAGTAGCTTCCTGGAGGAGCCCTCGCGATCGCTGCTGGGCTGGGACGGCTAAAATGTTTGAAGTGAGGGCCGATTGGTCGCTAGTCCAAGCTGCTAGGAGCAGCTCTTTTGGAAGCAAGCCCTAGGCTTTCAATCTGCAGGGCTGGGCATGTTGTAGATGGAATTCAAAGGAGTCGGTATTGGGACGGGAACACCTGAGACTTTTTATTTTTGGTAAGAGGGCTGGGGCTGGACAAGCACTAAGTCTGCATCAAGGGGTCCTCCCATGCCTGGGCTCTGGAGGCCTGCCAGGCCAGGAGGGAGGACACGTCTCCCAGAAGAGAGAGCGGAGTGGGCCACCCGGTGGGTGCTCACCTGCAGGCATCGGGGCACTAGCTCGTTTGGGTTGTACGGACATGGGTCTGAAGGCCTCTCGTAGAATGGGCATCCTGTCCCTGGGAGTTGGTGTAGGGCTTGGGAAGTGAACAAGGCAGCTCAGTCAGGGGGCTGCCAAGGAGTCATTAAAAGCCAGTACCAGGGGGATGTACCAGGAGGGCAGGACCCCAGCCCCCAGTGGGCCAGGAGCAGCGGCGAGGGAGAGACGGGCATTGGTGACCCGACTTGGTAACAATGAGAAGCGTTCTAAATTAGAATGGGGCAGCCGGCTGGCCACTGGGCTCCCCTGGACTTGAATGCGGTCCAACGGAACCAGCCTCTCTTGAGCATTCCTTGATCCGTCGGCCTGCGGGGAGAGCAGGGACTGCGCTTTGGAGGCTGCTGCTATGTCCAAGGTAAGGCAGGGAGGACGAGAAGAGAAAGGCACTGCCCCTCAGGGGCTCTCACCGGGCAGGCAGAGTGCCCGAGTGCCCGGGGGCGGGGGTGGTGGTGGACTGGGCTGGGGTGCAGAGGTGGGGCTGGACAAGCTGTGCTCCGGGGCCAGTGCACAGACTGACTAGCAGCAGAAGCATGGAGACAGGACAGTCTGCAGCCTCCTCCTTCAAGGTCTGCGCTCCAGGCTGGGGGCTGGGGGCTGGGGCTGGGGCTTCATTTTCCAGGCCCTGGAGAGCCAAGAAGAAGCCTTGGTTGGCACAGTGGTTAAGGCCTCCGCTGCTGACTGAAAGGTCGGCGGTTCGAAACTGCCGTCTGCTGCTTCAGTAAAGGAGTCAGGCTTGGAGAGCCGGGGGTGTGGGTGGGGGTGGGGGGCTGTTCCACTGAGTCCCCATGAGCAGCCAAGGGCTTGGTTCTCCTTCACAGAACAGAAGGAGACTCCGATGGTGCCCGTGGCTAAGCCCTCCGCGGCTGGCAGAGAGAGGTTGGCAGTTTGAACCCACCCAGAAGTGTCTTGGGAGGTGGCCTTTGTGGTCTACTCCGGAAGGTCCCAACAGTTCTACTCCGCACTCGAGCGGGGGCATGATCGTTGAGAATCCAGTCAGGGGCAACTAACAGGCTACCAACCTGGGCACTGAGGAGCGGGGAGAGACAGGCTGCACACCCGTACCAACGACTGGACCCCCACTTGCAGCAGCCCCAGAGGCAAAGTGGGGCTGCCCCTCGCCTGTCCAAGGCCAGTCATTTTCCCTGGCTTCCACCACCTCAAGCTTGCCGTTCACAGCTAGCACTGACGCGCAGTAGGATTAGACCATTTGTATCCCGGTCTCAGTATGGAGGAAGTGCTGTGGAGGTCCAAGGTGGGGGACAGGGGGACTTGCTAGAAGGCTGGTGTCTACCCCCCACCCCCCCTGCAGGAGAATGAGGTCTGGCTTGAGCAGTGGGTGGGGGTGGGGGGCCCGCAGGAAAAGGAAAGGGAAACAAGAACAGGGTGGGATGAGGGAGGCGGGTCGTGGGGGTGGTCTTGCAGCTAACCCCCAGAGTTCAGTCTCAGTGAGCGGCGGCGAGGATAACTCTGACGAGCTTCCCTGGAATCCATTCTGATTCGTGCACGGTGACCGTGTGTCTGTCTGTCTGACCGGACCTGTGCCCCATAGCATTTCTAGTAGCTGATTTGGGCATGGGTGGGTGGGTCGGGAGAGTAAGTCACCAGGCCTTTCTTCCGAGGTACCTCTGGGGGGCTTTGAAGCCCCAGCCTCAGTCGGGATGGGAGCCTAAGAACCGTTTGCACCCACCCCCACGAGGACTTGGGAAGGCAGGCCCAGCATCTCAGCGGGATCTTGAAGCTGCACACCGGTCTGGATGCTCGGCTCCGTGGGCAGCACAGCCGGGCACCAGGCTGGCTCTGCAGGCATCTGGGCAGTGGCCCCTTCCACACCTGGCCCTCGCAGGCGGTACCCCAACTCTCCTCTCCTCTCCCTCCTCCAGGGCTTACAGGAAACCTTGGTCCGCAGTCACCGGCCAAAGATACCACCAGGCAGAAAAGTGAAGGCCCCGGGCCCGGGTCCGAGGCTGTCTGGGATGTGGAGGCAGGACCGAGAGCAGTCTCTGCTGGCGGCCTACGTGCCAGTGGTGGTGGCCCCCCAGGGCCAGCGCCCGGACAAGCTCAGGTTCAATTTCTACAGCTCCCAGTACTCCAACTCCCTGAACCCCTTCTACACGGCACAGAAGCCGACCTGTGGCTACCTGTACCGCCGGGACACGGACCACACCCGCAAGCGCTTTGATGTGCCTCCCACCAATGCCGCCCTGTGGCGCAGCTGAGCCCGCACCCTGACCCTGCCCACCCTGCTGGGCCCCAGAGGAGCGGGGTTGCTCCCTCCAGGAAACGTGGCCA